ATACATATATATATATACCTTGTACTATCTGGTATTGGATGTTGAAAATGAAAAACGAAAAAAATATTATTCCACTTCGCTCGACAAATTATTTTCTGTATTTAGAATTTCCCGGGTTCACTCCCGCCGCCACATGTGTAGTGGAATGAGCTTCACTGTGCAAAAATTCACATATGCAGATTGGAGATGAAATATCGAGTAATATTTCACCAGTTTAGTCCAGGGAAGGTACATGTGCATACTATTAAACGACCGGTGTAAGATTTTTTGGCGTAATATTTAAATCAAAAGTACATAAAATGTGTGACGTCACGTCTTGTATTTAATTCATGTGTTACAAAACTCTAAAACTTTACTTGGAAAATTTTTCTTCTTAACAGCGAGATTTATGCTGACTGAAATTTTGCGTAACGTAAATAAAATCGAACAAGAAATTCGTGTTATAAAGTAGAGCAGGGGAGTGTGATACAATAGTTGATAAGTGAGACATTCAGAAAACATCACTCGTCCAAAACATTGATGTTAATTAAAAATAATGAAAACACTAAATATGTTAAAGGTTAACATCAGCTGAAATTTTACCATCTCGTTTGGTTCACATCCAAAAAGAAAGAAAGTGAAAAACAGCTCCAGAACGAGATATTAATCCCGCGTGACGTCCCTTGACCATATACACCCACCCGCCTGATGCTGCCCTTACCTCTCAGTTTATTGTGGGAAATCTAGTTTACTGTTAATATAAACACAACCGAAACAAAGCTCCGAATGAGGTTGACGTGAGGACAGTCTGAGGTGCGCTGTACGTAACAAGTGAAGACCGATGCGAAACTACTAGGGATGGATAAACACCAGGAACATATCGGTACTAATGCAACCTAACCCTATCTCTCTTATGCTAACCCAACTTCACCGTAACTGGTCTACTCAAACTTAACCTAACCTAAACCAATCTAACCCGCAACCTAACCTAACCCAACAATTATATGACCCAAGGGTAACTAAGGTCAGGTTAGAAGTAGTGGGCGAGGATGTGAGTGTGATTAATCCTGGGTGCGAGTATGGATGAATGAGTAACGATGAATGAGGGAAATGAGCGTCGCTAAATGAGGCAGTGTGAGTAACGATGAATCAACAAAGAGGAGTAAATACTATATAAACAACACTGACCACATTATAAACAGAAGGGACATGACGTGTACTGGTAAATACAGGAAAATTGACTCGCTATTCCCTAAATGTGTTCCTTCTTTAACTCGAGCGAGAATGAGGTTAATCTTCAGGGCAGGGAACCGCACACTGTACTGTTTTTACGCTATTACTTAACCTTAACTTTTAAATGACTTCGACGTTTGTATGTGTGTATGCTTGTACAAGTACGTATGCTTGTATGCATGTGTACCTGTCGTTGTAAGTTTGTATGTCTGTACGTATGAATTTATGTCTGTATGATTTTATGTAAGTTCGGGTAAAATTTGTTGTTATCAGACCGAAATATGATAAATTTTGACACACAAATGTTCCTTTGATCTCATTGTATAGATTTTTTTCCTGTGTACCTTTTGGGAAGGTTTCTGCAAAACATAAAACAAAACAAAGATCAGTGGAGGTAAGATGGTGTCTGGTAGTTCAAAGGTGTAAATAAAACCTGATCCTCATCCGGACTGAAGAATCAGTTTTAAGTTTCTCGCAAATATTGACGAGAAACTTTTGTGAAATTTCAGTTCTGATAAGAAGTAAATTAAAAATTTTCGTCATGAAAAATATGATTTTTTTTTATATTAATGGAATTTTTATTTTGTTTCCATACATGCATGAATTTCGAAAACTTTTGCCAATTCTTCAAAAGATAAAAAAGTAAAAAAAAAATCGGATGCTACGATTTCGCGTATTAGGTATTACGGGAAGTCGGGAGAAGTCCAGTTACGAGAAGAATATGTAGTGTTGTGGCCCTACAGTACTGAGTGAGACTAGATAGATGGCATTAACCGCTCATCATTAGTAGTAGTAGTTATGATAGCAACAGACGAGGCACTAAAAATTAACATACAACACAACACTTGTCATCGTCTTCGATGTGACAGAAAAGAAACTCATCAGAAAACACATAAATTGTTGGTCTGAAAAAACTAAGTAGGGATGGTGTAGACAAGCCCCCATGGCATCATTCATAAAAGGAAAAAATTTATTTGTACCAAAACTATTTTCTGACAATTCGTGAAATATTTTCCCATATAAACTTACATATTTGGTAGAGTATCTACGTTGATACAAGTGTCACTCCGGATAAAGTTTTGACCTATAACCTTCCTTTGATCTTGACATTAATTTGGACATGGCAGTATTGTGCCGCGTAACGACACATATCCTCATGAATCGAACGTCGCTGCAGGACTATGACGATGCTAACAATCTATTCTGAGGATGGACGGTCAAGGATACAGTGCTACGCCCCATCTGGCGAATCATAAAGCCATTGATGGAAAAGCCAAATCAATCACATGTTTTGACTGCTGATGAAAACTAGGTTGTGAGTGTGACAGATAACTTCATTAATCGAGTTCGTCAACACACCTGCACGAGCTAATTATTCCACTTTGGGAGAACAACGCGCATTTTTTTTAATTCCTTTGGTGAATTTGCCGTTAGGGCGTTAGGGCTGGCAGTGATTCTTTATTATTAGCACGAGTCAAGTATTAAAAAGAACGTCAACCCATAGAGAATGTGATCTCCAGCTGAAGGACAAGAACATCAGGCAATGTTGACTGCTTGTGCTGGAACAGTTAGGTCTCTCTCTCTCTCTCTCTCTCTCTCTCTCTCTCTCTCTCTCTCTCTCTCTCTGCCAGCGACAATAGACTCTAGGTGGTGAATAAGTCAAGTATTGCTGTGACGGCACTATGTCTCTCATGGACTGTAGTGTTGCCCTTTGAGCTACCGAGAATAATCAAAACAGACTTCCAGGAATGACTTTTAAGGATCTAATATGAAAGCTTTGGCGATAGTAACCAAGGAAAACATTGCAGGTAAAAAACTAAATTTAATTATGGTCTTGTTGGTGAAGAAAGGTTCCCTGAATATTTGGTCATCAACATACTTCAAGTCTTTGTGATGTTAGTTCTATAGTCTAAGTGTACACGATTTCTGATAATTTTATCTCGGAGTGCGGCGGTCGAGCAGATACATCGCTCGCCTCCTGTCCTTATGCTTCACTGTATTGACCTCTATCCACCCTAAGTCTCCCAGCTGTAAATGGATGCCTTACAATTGAGAGTGTGAAGGTGGTCGAGAATAATAATGGCCACACTGTACTACAAAGAGACTTTGTCAACAGTGTACGGTGTCCCCACTGCGTATAATACTCTGTTATGGTGTTTCGTCCAGTCGAGACTTATTCATATGCCAGATTAGTTGTCAAGTCGAAGTTTGTAAACATATGTGGAAAGTAAAACTTCAGTTCTTCCCCCATTATGTTGGTTCCATCTTTGTCTTTATCATCAGAACTTCATTTTATTAAGTCATCTTCCCTTATTCCCCCTTCCCTCCCTCTCTCCTCTTCCTGCGCCATAATAAATGGAATCACCTGAAGATTCTCCTCCAGCATATTGCACCTAAAGATTGACCACCCTAACACCTTTTTCGGAGATGAGGTTAAGTTAGCGTTAGAGTGGTTAATCTTTAGGTAAAATAAGCTGGGGAAGAGAATCTTCAGATGGTCCAACAAATGGATATATAAGCCTCAAAGATATACAGGTCTTGTTTCTAGGATAAAAGAACCTGGTATACTGACTGAACTTCCAAAGGATACGAAAGTATCCCTGGCGTGATAGACCTGACGTTTACACAATAAAACACTGGTGGAACAGTTTCTCTTAACGTGTATAAATTTACAGACAAGCGTGACAGCAGCCCTCTCTCTCTCTCTTCTCTTCTCTCTTCTACCCTTCCTACTTCCCTCCACACCTTCTTTCTCTCTCCTGCGCCACCCTCAGCATCTCACAACTGCCTGTCTTCATTACGTAGAATTACTGAGTGCTGAAAGTTCCTGGAATACCAGTCGAGAGTCATTACATCCTAGATCAAGAGAAAAAAAGACTAACGCATAAATTTGAAATTTCTGGCCTTGGTGTGAAAAAGGCACACATTCCCGCACAGTTGAAACCTACGCCTAAAAGGAGCTTCCCTAATAATGCCGGGAAGACAGGGATAATGATTCTTGGTCTGAAGAAAGGGAGACGAGATGCTAAGAGAGCGAGACTGTATTTGACCGGAGTCGGTAATAGTTATGAGTCTGGATGAGAGAGATTTACATCAACTTTTCAATGGTCACGGGGCTATTATACGCTTTTAAACGTCACAAAATGTAAGACTGTGTGTGGTGTACAATAACCCGACTCTCTGTGAATAACATTTTTTTTGGCATCTGTAGGTAAGGAACAGACCGAGGCGTCGTTATAGACCAGTCACTTAAAACAGGGAAGTAAGTTAGCTAAACCAACCAAAATTTAAGAATAACAAATTGTATATTTTTTAATCATGCAACTCCATAACCGATTCGTACATTCCCATCTGGACTGACTACTGTATTCAAGCCTAGAAGTCATACCTGAAGGCTGAGGGCTTGAGACTGACCACTATTCAAGCAAGACGACAAGGCGAACCTAGAGACATTCAAAATCTTGAAAGATGGAAAACAATAACCCAATTTTAGACGCAACAAGATGCCAAGAGGCTCGAGTCAACCGCTACAAACACAAGTGGTCGTGGTTTCAAACTCGGCAAGGTGTTCTCACAGACAACCCAATTATAACCCCGGGAGACTACCAAAGATATAACTATTGGCTGGGAGCGCTACATACACAATCATGGTTGAGACTTATAAGTTTGAAAGAGAGGACAGCGCTCCTACCCAATCACTGGTGGTCATCCAAGGTTATGACTGGCGATGCTTAGGTTACCTGTGACTCACCTGCAATAATTATTATTATTAAAGACAGTTTACTCACCATAGTCTCAGGCCCGGGGTCGAACCTTTTCACTTCAGGTAAGGAGTGAAGAGCGTTACCTCTCAGCCCCGGTGGCCATGTAATCCTGGAAATATAAAGGAATGAAAAAGGATTAAAAACAATTATGTTGTATACATTAAGAATAATAATACTTTCATTAAACCTTCAGAATAGTGGTGCACTCAGTAAGCCTTTAACGCCACAGTCACTAAACCATTATACGCTACTGCTGTACTCGGTAACTTTATGAAACAACCACAACCACAAGTCTTCAATTGCAGTACTCGCCAGTTGTACTACCACAGCTACTATTCGGTGAGATACTATAGTCACAATATCTACCGTCATAACAACAACCTCAGGCACAGATCTATATCGCTTACTACAACACGTCAACACAACAACAACCTACTGTACATTCTTAATTCGGTGTTTGAGAAAATCTTCACCCCCAAGAGAGAGAAGTTACTGGGGCTTTAATCACCAAGACAAGCAAGTGTTTTAGATAGTCGCATACCCACCCACACTCTTACCACAACTCTTAACAGTGACCATACCCACCCACACTCTTACCACAACTCTTAACAGTGACCATACCCACCCACACTCTTACCACAACTCTTAAGTGACCATACCCACCCACACTCCTACCACAACTCTTAACAGTGACCATACATACCCACCCACACTCTTACCACAACTCTTAACAGTGACCATACCCACCCACACTCCTACCACAACTCTTAACAGTGACCATACCCACACACTCTTACCACAACTCTTAACAGGACCACCCACTCTACCACAACTCTTAACAGTGACCATACCCACCCACACCCACAACTCTTAACAGTGACCATACCCACCCACACTCCTACCACAACTCTTAACAGTGACCATACCCACCCACACTCCTACCACAACTCTTAACAGTGACCATACCCACCCACACTCTTACCACAACTCTTAACAGTGACCATACCCACCCACACTCTTACCACAACTCTTAACAGTGACCATACCCACCCACACTCTTACCACAACTCTTAACAGTGACCATACCCACCCACACTCCTACCACAACTCTTAACAGTGACCATACATACCCACACGCCTATCACAACCACAACATTCACAAATAAGACAGATGACAATACACATCACGTCTACCATCACAACAACAAACAGATCCTTAAACCCAGTTTCTGAAGGTATAAACAATGTCTCTTGAGCAGCTCACGGTGTGTCTACATAAAGGTTGGCCGTGATGGTGTATAGTCCCCGAGTCACCATAGGGATAACACTATATATAACTCTCTCCAGAATACAGAGGTAACAGGTGATTACTAAGTTCATTGTAGGTTTTGGTGGTTCACATCCTTGCATCAAGGTTCATCGTAAAATCCATATTTTCTGTAGATATATTTATTCCTAGGTTGTTATGCTGTGAAAGAATCTCTATGTGTGTGTGTGTGTGTGTGTGTGTGTGTGTGTGTGTGTGTGCGTAGAGAGAGAGAGAGAGAGAGAGAGAGGTTGAAAGTCCTAGACACACTACGCACAAAGGTAACTGACCTGTCACAGGCAGTAAACAAGAACGGATGACTGGCAGGCCATGATTATATCCCTGAAGATGGTCGTGGATATTACGGAATCACATAAACCACCTCAACCCTGACCTGCCATTTGTGTGAACGTGAGAACCGTTGAAGGGATCGAAGGATTTTCTCCAAATCTTACAACGACAGAGTTCGTCCCAGGAGCTCACACGTGACTGCTATCTCATTCACTACCGGAACGACTATTTTAATGTTTTATTTGGCTAAATCCAGACTATTTTGTTGGCTAACCCCAGACGATTTTATTCAGCAGACAGAGGACCCGTAAACAAGTGGTTATAGGGACGATTATATAGAATCTACCGCACATCACCTACAATGTAGCTGATGTAATGTAGGTTCTACATTATACATGATCTAAATACAAGCTAATAATGAACAGCATCATAACTAAGCTAAGCTAATATAAGTAGAGTTTGATTGAAGTTAGGGAAGTAAACGACGTCTATAATCAAGGGAAATTTGATTATATATTAATTAATTTTTATGAAGTTATAAAAAATATACACAAAGGTTTCCTTAATTGGCAAAACGTCTGTTGCGTTTTAAACCTTAGCCATCTTTAAAAGGCGTAACACACACACACACACACACACACACACACACACACACACACACATGTATGTTTATTCCACTTTGGCTCCAGTTAGCAATGTTTTGTGTGAAGTAAAGCCGAGACACAAGGATACGAACAGGAAGAACGCGAAGAGGGGGGCTTCAGAATAGATTATGTTAGGAAGACCGGACGCACGTCACCAAACTCAAGAACCGTATTTCACTTGGAGGTGAACATGACCAAGATGTCGGCAGAGTGTAGCTTAAGGAAAAGCACAAAACTAAAAGTTTTCGAGAAATGTTTTTGGCTCTGTCGGAGAAGAAAGAATTCTAAACACTAACAATTTTGGGCTGTCCAGAAATACTGACGTCCTCGAGGGGAGTCAGGAGCGGTTGAATGATGTCGTACGATTTTGGCGAAATTTTAACTTACACTTGAGTTTGTTCGTTTTTTATAAGTGACGAAACACTTACAATTTTAAGGGAATCAAAATTTCAGAAAACACAGAAAACAACTGACATTTCCACGGTGGGCTGTTTAACGGTGGGCTGTCTAATGGTGGGCTGTCTAATGGTGGGCTGTCTGGTGGTGTGTCTGTCTTATGATAAACCTTACCATGAAGATTACTGTGTTTGACCCTTGAGTGTATGTGACTTAAAGGTAAATCTGAAAATGCATGTAATATCTGAAACAAAATCTATCATTAACGGGAAAGTCGACGGAGTAAATCATTGACCTGACCGAGTAAATCATTGACCTGACCGCGAAGAGAGAGAGAAAGATGGAAGCCAGTTATAAAGAAATCTTACTGAGTTGATCGTTGCGTGAAAATTTGACGAGATTTCTTCAAGGTATCTAGAGCAACGAGGAAATGTATCCATAAAAGTTAACCGAGAGAAGCTAAAGTTTTTGAGAGGGCGATGAAAGGATATCTGAGGTGAACAGCCGCGGTGAAGCTTATAACATGTGCTAGTAGTTAACAGCCGCGGTGAAGCTTATAACATGTGCTGGTAGTTAACAGCCGCGGTGAAGCTTATAACATGTGCTGGTAGTTAACAGCCGCGGTGAAGCTTATAACATGTGCTGGTAGTTAAGTGTTTCGTATGAGGTATCGATGAAGTTGTCTTTTTATCATATATTTCCTAACTCTGGGGTCGGGGGAACTGTCAGGTCAACCGAGGAGATGTACGAGTGTGTGTGGGAGGGTGACTGTGATGAGGGAAGTGGGGGTTTAAGGCAGAAGATGGAAAAACTTTTACAAGGCTGGATTACGTCTGCCTTTATTTATTTATTTTTTCGAGTAGATGATCAGAAGCCAAACCATTCTAAGAGACCTTCAAGCTCATATTTTATGTTGTTGCACTTGGTTAGCTCGTTCAGTAAACAGCAGTACGTTATGAACAGGTGATTTGTGCAGTGTAGTGAATTAATAGCGGGAACATTCAAAATATGTCAATAAACTTATGAAAGTCATTTAACTCTTCGTCACTCCAATGTAGGATCTGGCCATTCTTTTAAACATAAATAGTTTTACCTGAAATTTGGAAGCACATGGCTGCATCCTCTTGAATCTGTCGGTTTTGTTTTCCTCCTATGAGCAGAAAACATATAACTTGCCGGTGGAAAATAATAGCTATCACTCCGGGGATGTTTACACTAAAGAAGTTTCTGGGTAGACAAAGTCTCTTGAAGTTTTTGGATAGGTCGCTGGTTCACCCTCGAGGCACCCCTAGTTCACCCAGCCCTTTTGAGTACCGAACTTGACAGTTAGGCAAAGTGATGATGGTCGAGTGCAGTGCCTATTACAGGGTTAGTTTAATCTGTGCCGTATATAAACTGTCCGTCAGCAGCATCATCTTAAGTGATCTCGGCGCTTGTGCTGTTGTGGGTCTGGGATGGATACACCTGGTAGAAGGTATAGGATATTTTAGGGGAGTTTATGGGGACGCCGCCCACACAGAAGGTGTTACAGACATCACCTTACGTCATGAGAGAGGCTGTTAGACAGTCAGTATGTGAGCTGAGGGTCGTCTCATTGTCACCTCTGCAGTAATTAACTCAAGATTACACTAATCTTCACCAGAGGGAATCATCTCGCTGCGAAGTAATTAATGCAGAGAGAGAGAGAGAGAGAAAGAGAGAGCGAGCTTCTTTAATGAGGTCATTTGTTGATCAATTCTATACTAATTAACTTCTTGAAAAACATTAATTATTCATATGTAATATTAAATTTAACCCCTATGTAACCCTACGAGAGAAACAGCTTAATAAATATGGTAATTTCTGGCCGTGGCTGACATGACCCATTGTGAGAGAAGAGAAAAAGATTGTCAAAAAAAAAAAAACTCCCGCTGCTGAATTAAGAAATTTTGAAATGTTGTAACGAAACACACATTCTTGAAGGAAGTAATTGTGTGAGGGATGTACGTGTCTGTCCGGAGAGAGAAGAGACAAGAAGAAGAAGGGGAAGAGGAGAGGAAAGGAGGAGAAATTTTTATAAAAACTGGAAGGCTGAAATTAAAAGAGTAAAGAGAGGGAGACAAAGACAGAAAAAAGGATTATAAAAGATTGGAAAAGGAAAAAGAAGAAAGGAAAATAGGAAGGTAAGGTAGAAAAGAGATCGGAAAAATGAGAGGAGAAAATAAGACGGAAAAAAGTGGAACTGAGAAAGATGAAGAGATGAATAAGATGTGAGCAGAAAATATGAGGGGAAACGAAGAAAGGGGGAAAGAAGAATAAGAGAAGGGAAAGCGGAGGAGGGAGAGCAAAAAATAGAAGAGGCACACAAATCAAGAGAAGTGATGGAGGTGAACAGAAGAGGCAGAGAAAGAGCAAAAAAAAAATTAATGACCAAAAACAGAAAAAGAAAGAGGTTGGGTCAAAGAAGAGGAAGAGGAAGAGCTTGAAAGAGGA